GAGAAATTTCAAATGCTGGAGCTCCATTTGGAAAAAAAAAAGACAGACTCTAGACTACTATAGAAATGTTAGGGAGAAAAACAAAGTGAATTACAATGTCCAAAGAGATGTTTAAAATTATTTTTATAAATGTTGATGAAATGAAAATATTGACTATGGAGAATGAGAAGTAAAAATATTAGGTAGTTCTAGTGGGAAACAACAAAGAAAAATAAAATTAAGAATTCAAGGAAAACCAATGTGCTGTAGTGGAATAAGCACGAGATTAGGAGTGAGATGCCTTAATTCTAGTATCAGATCTGCATATACCTTCCTTTGGATAAATTATACAACCTCTCTGAAGGCTGGCTTGCTTATCTATAAATCTGAGACAACTATGCCTGTCCCAGTACTTGAAAGAACTGGGAAAACTATAATATACTATATAATTTTAAATCATGGGGTTATTAATGTAACTGTAAGCATTATTTAACCTAAAGAGGAAAAGGTCCACAGATGAATCACTGTTCAATTGTATGTGAGTTAATATAAAATAAGAAAAAAAGGTGATAAGCTTTTCTTCAACTCTCTGAAAACAGAAAGCAAGTTCAGATTGTAGTCAGACTCATCTGAGTTACACTTAAGCTTTTAAAAATTGGGATAATCTATTAAGGGGGTGGGAAGAGAGACTGAGGGAAGCTTGATCCCTAGCAACATCAAGCAATATCTGTTTCTTATTATTAAAGATTATTATTCTAACAGAGCCATGAGGACTTTAATAATGACTATGACAATGTGAAAAAAAAATCAATGCTGAGAAGCAACAAGTGTGTGGTCAAATACAATAGTCAATGTTAATGTCATACTACCAAAGTTAAAGGCCCCATCTTTTCATTTATCAAAGAACTGAATGCTTTAGGAGAATGTCACTTCGTAAGGAGGATTTCTTTGGGTACTCCTCTGGAGTGTCTGTTGTGTCAAAAACAAAATGCATCAATAAATAAATAAATGACGTTTTGGGGGAAAAATAAATTATAGTCTTTTCAGCAAAAAGGTGGCTAAATTCATGATTCTCAAGCATGGTCCATGAACCACTCAGTGAGAGTGCCCTGGTTAGTCAAGTTCCTTGCAAATTTAAGGTTTGACATAACAAGATTCTTTAACAGTATGTACTGAGTCCCTACTATGTGCACAGTATATTTATATCTCAATCTAGTCTTTTGTTTCTCATAGAAATGAGTAAATTGTTCCCCAGATCATCTCACTGGAGTCCCAACCAAGGCAACTCATTAATTCTTGTTAACGCTTACTGAAAAGACAATTCATTAATTCTTATCGGAAAGGACAAGAAAATGGGACAGCTGTTTTGTGGGGTCTTTTGAGCCCTCACAGGATATGTATTTATATATATTTATAGGATAAGCTATAAAAGAGAAACATTTTGAGAACCACTGGAGATGAAAACCTCTAAGTCTACATAAGTGATTGACCTAATTACTGACTCTTGGGAGGCAGCATCAGGATGAAGTCAAAATTTTACAAGTTATCAACAGTGACAAGGATTCTAATCTTTAAACAGAAAATGGAATGAGAACGTGCATACTGATATGATTAATACCAACTCCAATCTCAGTAGAACTTTCTTACGCTAATGCAGCCAGTTGCTAAATTTTAATTTAATTAAATGATTACTGGGTAGATCAGAAAACTGGCAAAATAACAACTTTTGACATACGGTTAAATCAAGCTATTTTTAAAAGCATGCCTTTTACCTTCATTGAATTGAAAAACCTTAGATAAGAATATTTTAAGGAAGAAGCCAATCAAAAACATAAAGGACATAATTTAAAATTTCAGACAAAATGAGTTTAAATTCACAACCACTCTAACATTAACTGGAGTCCTACATATAGCAGCAAACATTGTTTTGTTTTCATTTCCTTCCTATCCTATTGGAACCAATTACTTTTGGGTATTGCCTCAGTTGGTAAGAAGTAGCACTGAGCTCATTAAGAGGTTCAGGAACCCAGAATGAACTGAGCACCAGATAAGTAATTTGATCATCTTTCCATAATGGCTTCCCCTTGTTTTCTTTTACTACCTATCACTATGACACTTTTACTCCAATTGGGAAACTTTCTTTAGAGTTGAAACTAGAGATAGCTTTTTGCATCTGTAAGAAAAGGAACAAAGGAAAAAGATGGAATGTTTCTTGCCCTTGGAATGAAAATATATTGGCTGCTAATATCATAAACCCAATTTAGACACATAAGGCACTTCAAAATGAAGCGGAAACTATGGCTGGCAACTAAGCCAGACCTAAAGTTTTTAATAGCATGTATCTTTGTAAAGCTCATTCTGTCAAATAATTGGGGATCTTTTAATTCCTAATAATAACAAGATGCCATCTAAATTTCTGAAATATTAAAAAAAATGTTACATTTACTTTTGAAACTTAATAATGTCACATGGAAAAGTTGTATGTCTCCCTAATTTTCTCTACATACACAATTTTAAAAGAAAGGTATCTTTCTCTTCATGACTAAGAATGATTCACTTTTATTACTGTTTGAGAGTATAGGCAACCAAATAAGAGTTTATCGTGTAATACACATTACACATGGACAACAGGCAGCTGGGAAACAAATGAGAGGAAGGCCAAGAGACAGTGAGTAGGCGAGGGAATGGGCAGCAGATGACGTGGTGGCAGGAGAGAGAACGAGGGAGATGCAATCTAAAAAACACTTTACAAAGCTTGCAGCTCCCGAGCAACAAGACTTAGACGTCCAGTTTCTGAATCTGAATTCTCTCACTATCTGTTCTTGAGCAAGATACTATTCTGCATATATTTTATTCACAAGCCATTAACACCTGCTGTCTCTCAAAGGGATAGTGTAAATGCATAAACAACTCACATTATTGCTTTTTAAAGTTTACAAAGCATTTTCCTCACAACCCTCCTGTAAGTTTAGGTAGAACAAGTATTATTACAAAGCATTTGAGAATACTTTTTAGAGAAGAAATGTAAGAAATTTAAGGAATGGTCTTCCTTAATCCTGGCCACTACTTTCACTGCCTGAGGGACAGGTTTACAACTTTTAAATGGGAGAATAAATAGGAGATCAAGAAAGTAATTTAAAAACAATTTCAATCTTGGTTTAGATTTTTATATAATAGTCTTGAATAAATTTTATATATCAAAAGAAGAGAATGTTCCTAAAGTCAGTGAATTTGTTTTCAAACAGGTTTTAATAGCTCTAAAAGGAATATCAGTTATTGTCTGGTAATATTTTTGCAATGTGCTTGTAAAACCAAGCAGAAATTGAAAAATGACATTAAAGAAATACAAATTACTAATTTGAAAAAAGATCTCTTTTCAGAATTTTAATTTTTGCAGTTATTATCAGTTATCCTAGGGAGCAAAGGGAATAACTTCCCAAAGGGCCCAAGTGAGTGTGTTAAATGTTAGAATAAGGCCACCAACTGGTGAGATAGCACCCAAACCTCCAAGGTCAGGTAATAACAAATGGCAATAAATCACAAGATAAGAAAGCTGCTGGCACATGTGTCTACATATATATTCATGTGTGCATACATGTACAGACATAATTATATTATACATAATACAAGATAGATAATACATACATGCATGTGTATAGATATACCTTCTGATGAAACATCACTTGTGCATACACATATACACATGCATATTGCATGTACATGAGTGTGTGTGTGTATGTATGTATGTATGTATGTATGTATGTATGTATACACACAGACAGACGTGACTGGTGTCTCATCAAAAGCAATACCCATTAAATCAAAGGAGACTCTCTCACCACCACAAACCCAACAAAAGAAGTGGTTTTTGGATTTAACAAATCTGAAAATCATCACTCTACTGGCACTTCCTTCCAGGATTAAAAAATAAGACGACAAATTTTCCATATCTGTAAACTAAGAGATCTCCAAGGCCCTTTCTACAATGTTCTATTATTTTATAATTCTTCCATAATACTCTGTCATTTTTTAATTCATGCAAAGTAAACATCAAATTCTATGTTATGGGTTGCAAAATATCACATAAGCTCTGTATTACATACATATATAGCTTTAATTCTGTCCCATTTGCTTCTGTTGGTTAGTAAATGGTGCTAATGAGATCCAGCACAAAGTTAGATCCAGCAATCGTCTGTGAAAGCTGCAAACACGTCACAATGCAGTGATGGGAATGGGAAACAAAAAGAAGGAGGTGGTTCATTGGTCATAACATCGACAGACTTAGATATGTGGCTTCACTTTATAATTTTCTTGATCCTGAGCCTTACTACTTTTCTATCTCTCCTTGATACATACAACTCCACCAAATCCTTTTCTTTCTAACAGTTTCTGAAGTCTGTGTCCAGATATACGAATAATTTGATCGTATCTTAGTAAGACCTAAGCCCTGTAATTACAAATAAAAATTTATGAATTTATGAAGTTTCCTTATTCCTGCGTTCCATAAATTTGTATAACGATGATAAATAATAGCTTGATTTTACACTTGTATCACAGTGCTTTAGAGTTTCTAAAGTGCTTTCATATAACATTATTTTTGTTTATCAAAAAAACTTTGTGAGGCAAAGTAAGGCAGATATTGCCGCCATTTTGAAGATGAGAGAATTTAAAGCTCACAGAGGTTAGGAGATTTGCCTCAAGTTACAGTACTAGTTAAGAGGCATAATAATAAGGTATAGAACTCAGTTTTTCTGCTTCCAAGTGCTCTTCCTTCTACATCACATCTTCTTAGAATCACAGGAATTAGAGCTACAAAGGACTTCAGAGATCCCTTAGTCTAACCCTCTAATTTTCTAGCTGAGGAAACTGAGATATGGGGGGGGGGAGTAATCTTCCCAAGATCAAACAGTGAGGAAGCATCAGAACAAGGATTCAAATGCAAGACCACACTACACTGTGACATCTTTTCTTCAGCTCCAGACACTGAAAATTATCAGGATACTTTATTTTTAAATCAATACCTCGATTTTCTTCAGTGGTAGATTTTTCTTCAGATTCTTCTGAAGAATTCTGTGAAGCTTTCTCAGATGAAGAAGATTCTGTAGATTTACTACTCTGGTCAGGCTCAAGCCTGGATCTATAAATACAAAATAATACTGTTAGTGTTCTTATTTATATAATTGGATTTCCTATAAAGCTATAGAGAATAAGATTAATATGAATGATCCCATTTTAACCACAAAAGTAGATACAACTTGACCTTTTTTAGAATTACTGTACTGTGTTACCACATACATCAAGCTTTCATATGGGTCTTCCTTCCTTCTACCGATGACGACTGCCATCCCATTAGAATCAATCCTACCTACAGTTTTGCGTGCACTTTTTTCTAGACCTTAAAGGAACAGAAGAGTGTATTTATTTCGGAAACTATATATGTATTAAATGGTTCTTTCTTACAATTGGATGTAGGCAGAGTAGTTACTTCTAGTTTTGTGCCTCAAGAAGTTCTGCATCTGAAAGCCATCCAAGTGTTCTGCTCATGAGTGTTAGTGTTTTCTTTGGTCAAGGCAGCCATTTTTCAACATGGCTCTTATCCTGTAGCATACTGATATTAGTCCTCCCTCTCCCTTCTTTCAGTTCCTAAGATTAACAGGAAATTAAAGTATGGAATTTTCAACAAGGACTGTTGAAAAACAAAAAGTCTTCCCCTCTTACCAAAACCATTATGATCCTGTCACAAAAGCACCACGGGTATACCAAATTTGTAGAAGAAGTTAGACTTTACATAGTGCAACTTTATAGACAGGATAAGTTTTATTATGACAATTGTTAAAACTACAAAATGACAAAGCAAACATTAAATTTCCAAATGTACAAAAAGAAGTATATATAAACATTACATTATATTTTCATTTGATACACAAGAAAATTCTAAAATAAGATTATCTAAATATTATTAAAATATTAAAGATGTGTGCTAACAAGCACATACTTGATGCCTACTAAAGTTCAGTAAAGGAAATCCACTGTAAGATTAATTGACTTTTAAATAAATGTGTCTTTTACTGTTAGTAATCTTTTGATCCCAGAGTATGCTAATGCACCAGATTTCAATTAAAAATGCATAAAAAGCCTGCAATGCGTGCTTTTAAAAATAACACTCGACTTTGTCTAAGTAATAAAAACAGATTCTAATTATCACATAAAGAGCCTACCGAAATCCCTGGGGAAATTACAAATCAACTAATTGAGGGTCTTTCTTAAAAGTAATTTAAAAAAGTCATCTGAAAGATCAGTTTATTTTAACTGATTTAACTAAAGTCTGAGTCTATCACAGATGCAATCAAGAGTCTCCACCTGGCCCACATCTGTTTACTACTTCCCACACTGGGACTTCCATTTTAAATTTTTATCAAAAAGAAAGGCAAGGGGGTGGGGAGGGAAAAATTGATCAGAAGGAAAAGTAAGGAAAGAAAAACATACACAATTTCAAAAAAGGCTTTCAGGTTTGAAATAAATTCAAGATTCAAGGATAGGTCTCCTATTTTAATTGAAGTGAGCACTGCTTTAGGTACAGTGCACCCAATGTGGATGTATTAATTTAAAAGTAAATTCCAGATAGAGGCATTTACTCTGAGCACAGGCGCAATGCATTTGAGTAATAAATAATTCGTGTTGTTTAATTCATACTGTCTTGATGAAATCATGTTCATCTATTTGTACCAACAAACATTTATTCAATATCAACTAGAAACATCAGATACAGAGATATCACACACAAATTCCTATATCAAAGGACTTAATTATCCAGTGGAGAGAGAAGACCTATACATAAATTACAAATAACAATAAAGTTGCATATATTAAATGTTAAGTAAATGAGTTGGCCAGGTAATATGTTACAGAAATCTAATTTTAAAGAAAATATAAAATATAGTATAGATAATTCTTGGTGACCTATATGACAGAAACTGGAGAGTAACTCAAACTTATTTAAAATTAGCTATGGAATGATTTTTTTTCCTAGACGGATGTGGATTTAGAAATTAGATTTAATCAAAATAACAAAGCCACCCTGAAATCTAATTTTGGTGATAGGAAATTGTTCAGTCTTTCCATCCTGCTCCTGGGCTCAAATAGTAGGATAATAAAATGATTAATTTAGAGCTAGAAGAGACCTTAGAAGTCATCTAATCCAAACCCCCTCATTTTCTAAACAGGGAGACTAAAGTCAAGATGGAGCAAATGACTTTCCCAAGATCAACATAGGGTAAATAAGTGGAGTGTGTGAATCCAGGTACTCTGGCTCCAAATCCAACATTCTTCTTACTTGATCTCTACTAGTTCCTATGAAAGAAAGCCACTTTATTTAAGGGGGAATAAATAGACTTCTGGTGAATTCAGTGACCGTTAGACAAAATGTGCCCAAAGCTGGTTGAAAATAAACTTAATAGGAACATCTGAAAGTAATTTCAATTTGTTTCCAGTTAGGTACCAGCTTAAATATTTTTGTTATTCTGTTTGGTTGTTTTTCAGTCCCGTCTGACTCTTCATGACTCCTTTTTGAGGTTTTTTTGGCACGCGGCTGGCTACTTTCTTTAGTAAGTGTCTGAAACAGGATGTGAACTCAGGTCTTCTTCACTCCAGCCCCAGTGCTCCATCCACTTTGCTGCCCCTGCTTAAATATCAGGGTTCAAAATATTGCACTGACCCAAGATCATACATACACTCTGAGATTAACTGTTCAGCCAAATATATGTTCTTACACTTTATACATAATGTGACATATTGATTTGTATCGTCTGAGATGCTCTCTTCTGCTGGTGGCTGCCGCACACAGAGTGCTAATGGGTCCTCAGCTCATCTGTATCCGCCTAGTGCACAGAGCTGAGCTCCTCAGTAACTGCTAGAGGCAGCTGAGGTACTTTTGTTTGATCTTTTCTAGAGTGTATGTGGAAAAACTGAATAGCTTTCACTCCACTATCTTGACCAAAAGTGCTGCTTAGTGAACCTTAAACAACTATATTAATCTCAGTAATTGTAACAATCTCATTGTAGACTACTGTTAAATATTTTGGTTAACATTTTAAGACACTACTCAGTGTTGTTCTTCCATTGGGAAGAAAAAGCATTGTTTTTAGTTGAGGGGGCAACCTGATTATTTTAAATTCTTATATCACTCATAAAAAGAAGCCTCCAATGGGTGAACGATCATACTTTCTTTCTTATCCAGAAATTCTGCACAATAAAAGCTTTAAAATTGGTGATACTTCCTCGAGAAAAACGCCAAATGGTAAAAACCATATACATAGAATTTGTGTTTTTCTATATATATACATACATACAGGTGTACATATTTGTGTACATTTTGATGTATGTATATGTACATGTATTTAAACACACATAAAAATATCTATTTCTATCTAAAGCAATATAGCGTTCTTCCAGTCGCCCAGATTCCTCACCTGGCACTCATTCTTCTCTCTCCCTCACTGCACATCCTAATCAGTTGCCAGACCTTGAGGTTTGTGCTTCTATAACTCGTATTCAATTTGGCCTCTTCTCTTCACCCACAGAGCTAGAAGCTTAGGCAGGACCTCCCCACCTTTGGCCTAGAGTACCAACAGGTCCTCCTAACTGGTCTCCCTGTCTCATCTCCGCCCACTCCAATTCACATTCACACAGCTGCCAAAGCCAGTTTACGTAAGTTCCAGTGTGATCATGTCACTCCTTTATTCAATAAACTCCAGGGATTCCCTACTGATTTCTAGGAGCAAACAGAAACTTCTCTACTTAGAAGGTATCTTTCCAGCCTCATTATACAATGCTCCCTCTCCTGCACTCTGCAATCTGGCCAAACTGGCCTTCTCTCTGCTCCTCACACAAAACTCTCCACCTGCCATCTCTGCTACTTTGCACTGGTCAGGCTGCATGCCTAGAACACACTCTCTCCTTTTCTCCATCTCATAACATCCTTCCTTCCTCCAATACACAACTCAAATATCTTCTGCGTGATGCTTCTCTAGAATCTAACTGCTCATGGTCCTCAATACTATGTTGTATTTATTTTTTTATATTAGCTCCATATATCCTTATATATGTACTTCTCACCTCCCCATCATAATGTATATTCCTTAAGGGTAGGGACTGTTTCATTCTATTTCCATCCTTGTTAGCTTGCACAATGCTGGGCATATAGTACACTCTTAATAAATGTTTGTTGACTGACCGATTTTTCTACAATAGCACAATGCCTCTTAATGGTCACTCATACCAAGGTTATGCAGTTTTTCCAAGCCTTGACACTTATGACACTTGACACATTTATGCTTAAATGATCATAAGCAGGTCATATCATCTCTGAGCCTCAAATTAGTCATTTTAAAAACAGGATTTATCATCCTCACACTATCTCCTTGGGTTCTTGTGAAAAAAAGTACCTTGTAAACCATAAATTGTGATTTATGTGTCACCACTTCTAACCTGGCTCAAGTCTTTTAGTCAATAAGTATTTTAGGCACCTATTATGTGCCAGGTCCCATGAGAAGCACTAGGGATACAAAAAAATGGTAAAAGGCATTCCCTATCCTCAAGGAGCTCCGGATCTAATGGGGGAGACAAGGGATCAGACTATTTTTCCTACTCACATTGATGCCGCCATTCCTTTGGCATTGTCCTCTGATTGGTGAGTTCCTGGGAAGAACCTGCATTTCAGGAAATACCCACGCCAGCCCCATTCAATTTCTGACTCAACTCAATCTCCAATTCTTCAGATTATTTTTATACCTTTCCAAAACTCTCTCTGCTCCCTCCCCTTTCATGTTCCCTTTTATGTGTTGACTCCTTTCATTGGACTGTAAGCCTCTTGAAGGCAAGAACTGTCTTTTCTTCTTTCTTGTATGTGTATTCCCAGCCCTTAGCTCAGTGCCAGACACATAGTAAGTACTTAATAAATGCTTTGCCTAATTTTATCTAATAATCACTTTAGGAAAATATCACAATAAAGAAAATTTATTTTAAAACAACAATTCAGTTACATGTTTTCTGGAAATGTAACTCAAAAGATTTCTAAACTCAGTTCTAAACTAGTTGGAGATAAAATATATAATCAGTGTAGAGAGACTTTGTGTTTTTAGTGCCAAGAATATATGTGCCTGACATTCTCAAAAATTTTATGTATTGCTCTCACATTTTTGCAATTAAGAAATTACAGTCATAATTATAAAGAAATGCCTGTTTCTAATAGAAGGAATACTTACAATCTTTTTTTATCCACCACGCGTTTAACCCGGATAGCTCTCTGCTCAGAATAAATTTTACATACTCCTGTTAACAAAAGTTCAAACAAGTTCAATTTTAAAATTATGTTTTCTAGTCAAAATTATCCATAAAATATTTTAAATAAAAGTTATATTTTTTCAAGCAATTGGTAAATGTTATATTTTATTTTTATGAGAAACTAAATTAAATACTTTTTAAATAATCTTCAATGAAATCCAAGACTGCACTTCTGTGTTCCTTTACTTGCTGGGAATGCACCTCCTTGTGTGCTGTAATGAAAAAGGACAATACTTTATTACTTTGTGCTTAATTATATGAAAGGAAACATTATTCAGCTTCTTCTACAGCAGCCTATTTGAATAAAGCATTTAAAATTTATAAACATGAAGGAAGCTTGTATAAAGTAACATATTACATTTTCATAAGTATAAGATTTATTAGGCTTTATAACAGCTAAAGATTAAAAAAGAATAAAAACTACGGTCAAAGAATTTAAGTTTGATCATCACTTTCAGATAATATTCTGCAGAATGGTAAAATGTATCCTGATCCTATTTGTATGAATATCATCAGTCTATAAAGCTGGATGATAAGTATGTGAATCTCTGGGAATCTCTGATTACAATACTGTGGATTTTCTCCCAATCTCTGAAGATTATATCCCATGTACACTTTAGTAGAGGGCTTTCATGGGTTGCTATGGCTGGGAAAAATTATTACTTGTCGAAAATCTTCTGGTGATGAGTCTTTCCAAATTTGGCTAGGCTAGATCTTGGCTGAAAGACATTGACAGATCTGTAAGCATATGCTTTCTAGTTCTGTAGGGCATATTAGAACTCAAGATGTGTAAACATAGTTTTCAAGAGCCTAGGCTCAAAGCTATATCGTAATGAGGAACAGACGTAGGACTTTAGTAGAGTAAAATCGTGTTGGGCTTTTTTTTTTAACCACTATTCAGTTAGTCAAAAAGCATTTATGAGGCATTTACTATGTGCTAGGCACCATGCAAAGCACTGGGGATACAAAGAAAGGCAAAGGATAGTCCCTGCACTCAAGGAGCTCACAGTCTAAGGGAGGAAGCAAAGTGCAAACAATTACATATAAACAAGCTACAGACAGGATAAAATAGAGGTAATTGACTGAAGGAAGGCAGTAGCATTAAGAGGACATGGGAAAAGTTCCTTATAGAGAGTAGGATTTTAACTAAGACTTGAGAGAGACTGAGGATTTGGGTGACTGGGAGGATGCCGGTGTCCTTGACAGTAATAACGAAGTCTGGAAGAGGGGAGGGTTTGGAGGGGAAGGGTGAGTCCAATCTCTTTTATTATTCCTTTACTTTTGCCATCCTTTAGCATTGGATGTTTTCTGGATCTATACAAATTTTTTCCATCCTTGTTAGATGAAATCCAGCCTTATTCTCTCTAACCTTATTGTTGTAAACACTGGCTACATGATCTTTTGGTAAATAATTATATACTGTCATACTATTCCCTAATCGTGTCAAATTTGAGGTTAAATTCCTCAAAGACAGGCTAAATTTTAAAAGTCTTATGTATGCATATGTAACAGCACTCACAAAGAGTAGGCCCTGAATAAAAGTTTGCTGAATTACAGAATCATAAATCCTAGGATCATGGATTTAGAGCTGGAAAGGCCCTAGGAAGCCACTGAGTGCTCATCATTTTAGAGATGAGGAAACACAGGCCCAGAGAGATGGCCACGTCCAGGGTCACACAACTAGTAAATGTTTCAGGTGGGATTCAAATGAAGGTCTTCTTGGTTCAGAGTTCAATGCCCTACTAATCCCACCTCTCCTTAGATCCTCCAGAACCTTGCTACACTGCACTTTTCATCTCTCAGCTTCAATTTCTTCCACTTTGTTGGCTCTTTCCTTACACTCTACAAAGTTAGGTCTCTCTTCTCCTATACTCCTCTGTACCAAAAAGCCTTTTTTTGACCTTGTTATCACTCTTTGTTTCTCCTTTCTTTCACAGCTAAACATCCAGAAAAAGGAATGCCTTTGTCTTCATCAACAATGCTATGACCCAGAGCCAGAAATGAGGGAGAATTCTCCAGGGCCCTTCCTCACATTCTCTTTCTCACATTCCTCACTGGAAAAGACCAGTGATACTTATACAGACCACATACTGACTTAGAAAACCAAATGCTAACATTATCTATATTCTATTGTATTTTTATTTGTTTAAAGTTTCCCAACTACATTTTAATCTGGTTTGGCTTCACTCAGTTTTGCAGCCAGCAAAGTGTCTGACACCTCAGCTTTAGGAAACTAAAACTATAAACTGCAGGGAAGAGACCAACCTACATTTGCAGAAGGAGTTTCTTCACCTGGGAGCTACCTATACCCAAGGAAATCACAGGTCAGATCCAGTCCCTGGCCTTATGTACTTACACATACCCACACATACCCCTGTTCTTTGGCGCCCCCCCCACCACAAAATTTACTTTCTTTAGAGCTCATTTAATTTGCTGTATGTGTATACCAAGTGACTAGTATGATACCTTTCCCTGAAGTGCTTAATAAATGCTTGTGATTGATTCCACATATTCCTCATCAATCCTTCTAATACTTCTCTTCTAATTCTTGAAGACTGATATTTTTTGTCCTCTTTCAACAACAAATATCAATAAGTATCATTAAGCATCTACTATGTACCTGTGCTGTGCCTGGGGTCAGGAAGATCTGAGTTCAAATCAGACACTTCCTAGTGATGTGACTTTGGGCAAGTCATTAAAGCTCTGTTTGCCTTAATCCACTGGAGAAGGAAATGGCAAACCACTCTAGTATCTTTGCCCAGAAAACCCCACGGATATCATGGTTCACAGGGTCATGAAGAGTTGGACATGACTGAATAATAGACCAACAACAACCTGTGCCAGGCACAGAGCTAAGCACAGGAGATACAAAGAAAGCCAAAAGAAAGTCCTTGCCCTCAAGGAGCCCACAGTCTAATGAAGGAGACAACATGCAAACAACTATGTACAAAGAAGATGTATATAGCAAAAATAAGAGATAATCAACAAAGGGGAAACTAGCATTAACGGATCAAGGGAAAGGGGTTTCTTTTAATAGAAGGTAAGATTTTATCTAGGCAAATTTTAAAAAACTGAAGAAAATCTGACTCTTTCATTCTTGAGGGGAGTTAGCGGGTACCTCCCTATCCTTATTCAGAATTACAGGTTAAGTCAACACTTTCCAGAATCTGGTTCAAACTTACTTTTTCAGTCTATCTTACACTCTTCCCCTTCAAGCATTCTTGTAATTCCAGGGAAACTAAGCCACTTTCATTTTCTCCTCTTCTCACCCACCTCAATGACTCCGAGTAGAATGGACCTGCTTTGAAATTTCTCCTTCTCAAATTCTTTCTCTTCTTTCTGGACTGACTTTGCCACCCCAATTAAGCAAGTAACTACTCTCCCTCATTCTAAAAAAAAAAAAAGATTTCTGGCCAGTTTGGGTTAGATTATGTGACTTGGAAATCACTTTCAACTGTCCATATTTATTATCAGAGCACTCTGGATCTTACCTTTGTACTTATATTCAAATATGAATTCTAGTTATTTGTGATTATATCTTACCTCTCCAAATTGATTAGAAGGTGCTTGAGGACAAGAACTACATTTTACTTTATCTTTGTTTCCAAGTCCAAAACAGCATTAATAAATACATTAATATTTAATAAATTTAATAAATTTTTAAAAATTCAACGTACCTTCTTACTCCCATATACTTTTTTTCAAGGATTAAAAAGTAACCAAACTGCTACTGTAACGTCTTGTGTTACAACACTGAACAGAAAACTTAGATAAGAAACCCAAAGTAACAACAAAATGTTATCCGATTTTTAACTGCTTTGATTATATAATTACTCTTTGACTACTTGGTATACAAATATTGATGTTTCTTTTAGTCGTTAAAGAGGTATTATTTTTAGAATATTTTACCTTCTGTTCTTAGTTGCTGAATTGCTTCTGAACACGTCCTCATAAATATTTTGGCATCTTGATCAATCTGATCCCGTTCTGTATCAGTCATTCTCATATAGTCAGACATAATGTGGCTAAAAAAAAAAGATAAAAACACGAAAATGATAAATGTTAGAGAAGATGTGGAAAAACTAGAACACTAATGCATTGTTGATGGAGTTGTGAACTGATCCAACTACTCTGGAGAGCAATTTGGAACTGTGCACACAGGGCCATAAAACTGTGCATATCCTCTGACCCAGAAATGCCACTTCTAGGTCTGTATCCCAGAGAGACCATACAAATGGGAAAAAGTCCTTTATATACAAAAATATTTATAGCAGCTCTTTTTGTGGTGGCCAAGAACTGGAAATTGAGGGGATGCCCATCAGTTGGTGAATAGCTGAATAAATTGGGGTATGTGAATGTAATGGAATACTATTGTGCTATAAGAAATGATGAGTAGACAGACTTCAGAAAAACCTGGAAAGACATATGAATTGATGCTGAGTGAAGTGAGCAGAACCACGAAAACATTGTACACAGTAACAACCACATTATGTGGTGACTAACCTTGATAGACTTATCTCTTCTTTGCAATGCAAGGATCTAAGACCACTCCAAAAGGCCCATGATGGAAAATGCTGTCCACATCCAGAAAAAGAACTACAGAGTCTGAATGCAGATCAAAGCATATTATTTGCACTCTCTCTCTCTCTCTCTCTCTCTCTCTCTCTTTCTCGTGGTTTCTCCCATTGGTTCTAATTCTTCTTCACAACATGACTAATGTGAAAATAGGTTTAATATGAATGTATATGTTGAGCCTATATCAATTTACATGCTGTCTGGGGGTGGAGGGGGGAGAGAGATTGGGAGAAAATTTGGAACTCAAAATCTTATGGAAGGGAATGTTGAAAACTAAAAATAAATTTATTTTTTTAAAAAAAGTAAAAGTAACAAATGACAAGATTTTAAAAATGTTTGCAGTAAGTTCTTATTACCAAAACGAATATAGCTTATTTCCAAACCACTTTTCTTAAAGATAAAGATCTTCATGGAATGGAACAAATAGGGCATTAAAAGAATAAACAGGTAATGAGAGCTTCAAGAGTTCAAGAGATCCAGAAGTCCCATATTTGATAATTCTTATGAATTACAAGAAACCAGCTCTACTGCTTTGTAAAATGCCTTGTTAGAGGCACATTTTAATATGCCAATCAGAAAGGAAAAAAGTCATTGGCAATGAGAAAGAACGCTGGCCTTAAAAGAGTTTTAATGACCTGAGTGAGTTTCTGGATATTTTACTTAGTTCTTAATCTCTGATCCAGTAGACCTGTGACTTTTTACCTCTTGTTATATTCTAAATCTTTTGTGTTCACTAAACTTCCAATTCAAGGTAGTGAACGTCTAAGAGAGTTTAGAGCTTCCTGGGTACCTAAGTCTGCTTGGTGCCTAGGTTCAAAGATCAGTCACACTGGTTCCCATCCACCTTTTCTTCCTCTTGTTGCCACCATAACTAGGTACACTAGCTTGGCATTCTCTCTTCTCTTTCCCCTGTCTTCCTATACAACTGGAGAATGTTTTTCAAGGTTTATTTACATAGAAAGTTAGTATTTCTAAGTAAGAATAAAACAACTAGGAGTGACTAGAAAAGAAAACTATTCACTTCCCCACTGGACATTACCTAAGCTCTCTATTTTATGTTTATTAAAATTCTGCAGACCTACCTTAACCCTTGCTAAAAGCCCTATGCCTAAAGATTTTGATACCTTTGGGTCCTACAAGAGAATGCAGTAACAACTGCTCCACAATTTAAGCCTATCTTGTGTTCTAAATCAAATCCATTCAGTCATTATACAAACCCAAGTTCATTCTTCCCAAACAGGAAAATTCCTAATTAGTCTATGGTTGTTTTGCCCAATCCCTAACTAGTCTCTCTTTCCAAGTCCAAAACAGCATAATCCCTCCTGAATCTCTCTCAAAACCAATGGAAAAACAAGGAAATACAAAATAAGTAAAGATAGGAATTTCCACTGTTTTAAAAAAAGAATATACTCTAACCCCCAAAATATACAAAGTGAAGTTCTTTGCTCCCACAAGCATATTCATATAATCTCATTACCTGGGGGATAATGAAGTTACAAATAGGTTTCTGAACTTAAATGTTTATTAAAATACTGAAACAAGTAAAGCAGATAAAATTACTAACTATAACTGTCAAAGCATCTCACATAGGTACCCGCGTGTGCTGTAGGTATACAAAAACTACTTGTTATTTGGGCTACATTTTATTGATTTCCTCTGCAATTATTTTCAGCAGCAGAAATTAGGGCTGGAAGATAATTTCTGGGATAAGAGCCCTATGGAAATTGGAAATGGAATGATGGAAACAACAACCTGTTGAGAGGGAAGTAGGTGTACTATAAATACTGGACGTGGTGTCAAGGAAAACTGGTTTTGAGCTCCAGCTTTTCCATTTATTAACTCTATTATCACAAGCAAATCACAACCTCTCTGAGCCTGAGTCTGCTCATCTGCAACATGAGATTAATACTTTTACTAACTATTAGACACTGCTGTAAAAAGGATTATAGAAATGAAGGCTGTTATAATTATTATTCTCTGAGTATGGGGATACAATAAAGAAGTTAAATGGAAAAGATGCCTATTTCCAATATGACATGTGTCCCTTTAACAGAAGGCCTATAAATTACTAATCACAAAAATATTATAGTTGACTTTACCTGCCCAGTACATTTCATTATACTGCACACTCTGAATTAATTCACATTCGAGGTCCAAGTGTTAATTTGACAGACTCAGTTGCTGAGCTCCCATTTGAGATGTAACAATATGTGCCCTCTTTAACTGAAAATAATAAACTGTGTGTATCCTATCAGCAATTAACAAAAATAAGATGACAGTTAATTTTTGTGAAGCTGGCACTATTTACTTCTAGGCAACAATAAGGAAGAGGTATATTTATTAATGTAGGAGAAATTATTTTAAATTGAAACCATTCTGAGATAAAAATCAGGTCATGTAGACTGCATACTATTCTGCTTTAGTGAAATATCATAACAGACAAAAAAAAAGAATCAGTGAAGTGTAAAATCTACAGGCTCCAAAGTCTGGTGGGGCTCTAAAGTGTACAGGACAAGACTGGGATACATCTAGTTGTCCTGTTTGACTGGAATGTAAAATATGCAAAAGAATGTAATGTAAAGCTGGAAAGGTGTATAGTTGAAACCATGTTATGGAGGGACTTAAATGTCGGCTTAGGAGTCTGCATCCTCTGCGCTAGGCAGCAAGACAGTCTCTGAAGTTTGTATGTTTGATGACACTCCTCAAAATATGCTCAGGGGAGTTGGCTGGTACATTGACTTGAGAGAAACAGGAAGGTTGGAACAAATCCCTAAGACAGACTGCAGTGTGCAGAGAATGGAGCCACCAATTGTCCTTGAGCACTTTGTCTGGATCTCTCCTCTCTCCATCCCATTCTACCATATGTGATGATACAAGCAACGACTTACATTTAGATAGCACTTTAAGATTTGCAAAACACTTTCCTCACTAAAAGTTCTTTATTTTTAGACTCTGAGTTCCTTTAGGGTAGGAGCTAACTTACCATCTTTACACCCACTATCCCTGGTACTTAGCAGACTCTTTAATGTCTGTGGGGCTGTGCTGACATAGCCTACTGCATCCCACAAAGAAGTAGGAAAACCTTAAGACCAGATAGGATGGTCGAAATCGGGAATCAGGGCCAGAAAAAAGGGCTTAAACTAGCACATTCAAGAACAGATAACAACAATAATAACAACTAGCATGTATGTAATGCTTGAAGCTTTATCTCATTTGATCCTCACAATAATCCTGTGAAATAGGCATTGTACTTACCCTCATTTTATAGATGAGGAAAAACAGAGTTAAGCAAGGGTATGCTGATAGATGTTTAACAACTGAGCCTTGGCTAAACTATCGGTAATATAAGAATAATAACATAAAAGCTACCTACAGGGGCAGCTAGGTGGCGCAGTGGATAGAGCACCAGCCCTGAATTCAAATCCAGCCTCAGACCAAACACTTGACACTTACTAGCTGTGTGATCCTTGGGCAAGTCATTTAACCCCAACTGCCTTAAAAAAAAAAGCTACCTACTTCACAGGGCTATCACGAGAAAAGTATCTTGTAAATCTTAAACACTATATAAATGAAAGCTATATTGCTTTCACTGATGTCAGTCAACAAGCATTTATTAAGAAATTACAGCAGTTTTCAGTAAAAGAAATCAATGCTATCTACAGATATATGAAAAAATGCTCCAAATCACTATTGCTTAGAGAAATATAAATTAAAACAACTCTGAGGCACCACCTCACACCTACCAGATTGGCTAATACGATGGAGAAGGAAAACAACAAATGTTGGAGGGGATGTGGAAAAATCAGGACACTGATGCACTTTTGGTAGAGTTGTAAACTCATCCAACCATCTGAGAGAGCAATTTGGAACTATGTCCAAAGGGCAATCAAACTATGTATATACCCTTTGACCTAGCAATACCACTAGTAGGACTATATCTCAAAGAGATCAAAGAAAAAAGAAAAGGTTCTTTACATACAAAAATATTTATAGCAGCTCTTTTTGTGGTGGCAAAGAACTGGAAATAGAAGGGATGCCCATCAATTGGGGAAGGCTGGATAAGTTGTGGTATATGATTGTGATGGAACACTATTGTGCTATAAGAAATGACTAGCAGGATGGTTTCAGAAAATCTAGGAAAATTTATATGACTTAATTCAAGATAGTTCTGAAGGACTTATGATAAAAATGCTATTCACTTACCTATAAGCATTAATGTAATCTTTCCTGTGTTCCAGAAGAAAGTCTCTCAACTTCCCAATATGAGAAATCTAAAAGGAAAAAAAAGAGACATACTGTGGTTACTTAAAGTAAATTTTGTATTAATTTACCTGTCATTCTTTCCAAAATGTACAAAAAGAGTCACTTCTATCCACTTTCCAGACAATAAGACTATGGAGTTGATACTGTACGTGGCAAGTTAAATATCCCAGAGTTCAGTCATTAAATTGACAAATTTGGAGAACTCTGCTTGAGGTAACACCCTTCTTTTTATCTTTTTGGCATCCAACTTTGCTGGCCCTGGTTATGGCCTCTGTTTGTTCCCTCAGATCCCACCAACTCATTCACTTCCAATCACATTATCATATGATTTAATTCAATTCAGCTCAACCTCTGCAAAACTCACTAAAATGAGTTGCTTTCATTCAGTATAAATTCATAGTGCATAATGTCTTGTGGCTTCTACTTTATCACTACCTCTCATATTCATCCCTTTCCCACCATCCTAGTACCTCATTACCACCTGCTTATAAATAACAGCATCACAGCCAATCTCTTAGCCTATAGTTTCTCCCTCTACAAAACATCTTTAGTTCACTGTTTCAGACTACTAAGTTTTATGCAGAGATCTGGTTAACCTATGGCTTTGCTCAAAAATCTTTGGTAGCTCCTTACTGAATAATAGGCAAAGTTCATACTCCTTAGCCTGACATTCAAGGATTCCCAAAAGCTGGTGCCACTTTTTATCTTTATCAGTCTATTCTTTGTTGCTACATATTCTATATTCAGGCTACCCTCTATCTCCCAAACACACTATCCTTTTCTACCAATGTTCCTTGCTAGTGCTATTCCAAATACCTGGAACGTCCACATTTGACCAGCTCAATCCCAATAATCCCTGAAAGCTCAACTCAAATGGAACCTCTTTCTATGAGGCTTTCTCTAATCCCCTTAGTCAGTAATGAGTTCAGGTAGCCCATTGTTTTCAACTCTAGATTGTATATAATTAGTATTACCATGGTTATATGAAAGCAGAGATTATTATTTTACCTAAACTTTTTTATCTTCCATATTGTCTAGCACAGTGGTCTGTAAGCACTAAGTATGTCTGTTGAATTGAAAGGCACAAAAATAAAAAATGACGAAGTCCCTGCCTTCTAAGAGATGGGTGAGATGTCCCCAAATAACTATAACAGGATGAAAAAGGTTACAGTAGAGGTCTGAGAGTTTAAAGGCAAAGATCACCTCTAAATGGGGATAGGAAGAAATCATTTGCTGCTTTCATTGGTTTTTTAGGAAGGTAATACATACACTCCCAAGTCCAGAAACCACAACACTGCTTTAAAGCAATAACTGTTCAATGCATTACTTTACACACACACTCATATAATTTGTCAATCTCCCATTTAAAACATCCTCCCTTGCTGCCCATCACATGCTCTAGGTTTACAGAGTTAACAACCAAAAGGAGTTTTAGTTAAGCTCCTCTCCTTTAAGGCAACATTCAAATGATGTCTTTCACCAGCCCTGTTCCTTCCAGAGGGAAGTTCCTTTTGCTCCATCTGATCTCACAGAACTTCCTCTGTATGTATCCTCTTATGTAACCACTGCACCACCTACTGGTAGCTGGGGCACCACAACGCGCAGAGCGCTGGACCTGGAGTTAGGAAGAGATTAGTTCAAATCCAATCTTAGACACTTATTAGCTGTGTGACTCCGGGGAACTCAACCTCTTTTTGTTTCAGTTTCCTCATCTGTAAAACAGGAATAATAACAGCAGTTTCCTCCACAGGCTGTTGTGAGGACCAAAGGAAATAATATTTATAAAGCACTTAGCACACTACCTACCACATAGTAAGGACTATATAAATATTAGCTACCAGAAGTGGCAGCATTATTATTATCAAGTTCTAATTAGAACTGCATTTTCCTTTGCACTTGTCATATCATTCATATAGGCTCTAAGCCTGCAAGTCTCTTGCCACTTGATATTTTAGGAGCTGGAAGATAATCTGTCTCCCTTCTTCTCCACACTTTCCTCAAATTCTATAAGCCTCTCTGCCTCTGATCTTTCCGAGGCTCTACATTTGACAACCTAGCCTTCAAATTTCATCCCTCAGGTATATAAGCTGCCTACTGCTCTTCAAAACTTGAGACTTTCCATTTTTCATGTCACTTCCATGGCTGGGTCTGACCTCTATAGTATGTATCCCCCAGGGTCTGTTCTGACAGCCCTCAACTGCTGGGAAAGAACAGCAATGGGCAGGGATGGGTAATGGTTTCGGAGGAAACTTTCTCGGCCCAGCTTGGTCAGAGACAGCACGATGTAGTGTAGCAGAAAGAGTTGGACTTCGTTCAGGAGATGTGGCTTTAAGTCACACCTTCAACATGTAGCTGTTTGACCTTCCGCAAGTCACTTAACCTTTTCCTGTTATTGTTTCATGGGAATAATACTTGTACTGCTAACCTCACAAAGCTGACATGAGGAAAGAACTCTGTAAAATTTGCAAAGTGCATCATTATTAAATGACTGTGATCTTGGTTAAATATTTTTCCTACTCTGGGCTTTTAGAATATTATTCTGAGAAAGGGTTTCACTAGACTGCCAAAAGGGTCCCTGACACAAAAAAGGTTAGGAACCTCTGGTCTAAATGACCTGCATGGTTCTTTCCCAGCTCTTTTTATGATTCTAGAAGTAAACTTCATCACTTTAAGCCTCAGACTTTTTGACCCCTAAAGGAGGTGGCTGGATTAGATAATTTCTAAAGTCGCTTTCAGGGTTTAGAGTTTGTAATTCTGAGAGGACTCGAAAATCTTGGCAAGTATTTTGTGGTAGCTAAGAAGTGGAAATGGAGTGGATGTCCATCAACTGGGGTATGGCTGATCGAGGTATAATTGTAATGGACGAACATTGTGCTATAAGAAATGATGAGCAAGAAGACTTCAGAAAAACCTGGAAGGACTTACACGAACTGATGCAGAGTAAAGAAAGTAGAATCAGAAGAACAATTGTACACAGTAACAGCAATATTGTACAACGAACAACTCAGTGACTTAGCTATTCTCAGCAATACAATGATACAAGACAATTCTGAAGGACTCATGATGAAAAATGCTATCTGCCTCCAGAGAAAATAACTGATGGCGTTTGAATACAGACTGAAGCATACTATTTTTCACTTTTGTTCCTTCTTTCTTTTTCTTTTTTTTTTGGTTCGAGTTTTCTTCCACAAAATGACTAATATGGAAATACATTTTATAAGATTACATATTATAACCTACATCAGATTGCTTACCCTCTCAGGGAGGGGGGAGGTGAGAGAGGGAAAGACAGAATTTGGAACTAAAACTTAAAAAAAAGTCAAAAACTGTTTTTACATGTAATTGCAAAAAAATGAAATTTAAAAAAAAAGAAAGAAAATCTTGGCAAGGGAAGGATTGAGGTGTAAAAAATCTGACCCTGTAGCAGACTGAAAGCTTAATAGTATTCTACAAACACGCTGTTAACTTAGAAGTCTAGTAACCAAGTGAAGCTAACTTCTGGAGTTTTCATAAAGAAGTCTCATTTTGTTCATCTGAAAAATTACATGTTGTGAAGTTTCCAATAAAATTCAACTACTTTGATTCATACTTCGTATATTGGAAAATAGCACATTTCTGTAAACTGATTTATTAAAAATGAGTGAAACATGTTCTAGAGTTCACTGAATTCCAGAGAGGGTAAATGATAACTTAACTACTGATTTAATATTATCTCCAGCATAATACACATCCATTTTCCCCAAAATTTAACATTTAGCATAATATGTAGAAAAAAATCCAACAAGAAAAAAGACACTTGGCATCTTTGGGTTTTCTATCAGGTTAATTTACACTACAGCTTACAACAACTGACAGCAAGTCAATACAAAGGAAAAGAACAATCACATTTTGAAATTCTCCATACCAACAACGTATAGAAGGACATGGATAAGAGTTGTACAAGATGAGAAGGCTTGGACTGGCTGCAGCCTGTACCACCAGAGAATGCAAGCACACTGATAAGCACACAAATCCATCAACATTTCATTCTAAAGAGCTATTTGGGAATTCAGTCAAATAAAATCCTACTAAATTAGGCATAATCTTAACTTTTTAACACACTGGGCTTACTTCTAACTTGAAGAATAAAGCAAACTGATCATTTTCAATGGCGTCATATTTTGCATGATTAAATTATCACTGTTAAAACTGTTAAATCCTAACGTGGCTGTAGCTTCTATATTCTAGGTTTACCATGTGATGGACAAAAATATACTTCTTCATATTCAATAGTCATGGATAAGATAATAATGATACAAAGGTCCATAAGGAGTTGTGTGAAGAACATACAACTCAAGTTCATATTAGAAGTTTGACAACTGACAAGGCATTTTAAGAACAAAAATTTAGAGGTCCCCAAACTGCTTGTGAAAAAGGGCTACTTTTCAAGTCACTAAAGCCTTATGATCACTCAAGTTGCTATCAATGATCTCCCAGGAGGTGAAGAATAGATGGGGACAGCGGAAGTTGGCACATGACAGTATTGCCCCAACCAAGACAGAGAAGGAGGTGATGCTACCAATGTTGTTAATCTCTCTGATGGGAATCTCTCAATGGGAAGGGGTCACAGTAACAACTTAGAGATCTCTACCAGGTAAAGTTTTAAAACCTCCTCCCCCAGATGGTATAGGACCCTATTCTATTAGAGATTACTCCTGAGGATGATATCAGAGACCAAGGATACAAAAACAAATTCTAATGGTCATGAGGTTGTAGAAACTAAAGTCTAATGACACATGTTCATAAAGGATTTCTTTATGTGAAATTTATTAAGACTCTGAGCACTACACTTCACTAAAGAGAAAGCTATTCTTATAACCTGGATGATTTCTTTCTTACCAGTAAGATCATTACCCTAATTATGCAGAGAAGCATTTTCTTAATTCATTGTTGCTATGGAAATATCAGGTTTTGAGAAGACTGGTTGACTTAGAAAAGGGTGAGAATAAAATAGAAAAAAGCATTAGAG